AGCAGGAGAGCTGATGTTCTTCTAAGGCATTGCTTCTCAAGCTCTGATGTGCATCAGAATCTTCTGGGGGATTTGTTAAAACAGATCCCTGACCTCACCCCCAGAATTCCAGAATCTGGGTGGTATGGTGCATTTGCATTTCTAACAAATTCCCAGAGTATGCTGCTGCTGCTGCTGCTGATTCACTGTTTGAACCTCTACCCTAAGGCCACTTGGCAAACTGTGCTCCTGGATGAAAGGAACTTGCTTTTGGAGAAAACAGCAGTGGTCAGTTTAGAGCCACACATGAGGTGCCAGGATTGTACTGATATGTTACAGTAAAGAGACCAATCTGGAAAAGCACTTTAGCCATTTGATTAAGGTAGCTTAAGGCCGTCTATTGATAACGTATCCAATTGTACTAGAGAATTAAAATGGGCAGGTGCTAAGAATTACTGCCCCTGAATATGTTTTTGATAGTGTCACCAACCCGTGGAAGTCCTGGTCTGCAGTATAGACCAGGACTTCTGTCCTGAGAGCAGGACTCCTCTAGTGGTTTTCATTTGGCTCCTTCTACCATAATAATATTTATCCAGGTAGCAGTTATGCTGTTACTAAACAGTACACTCTATTTAGGAAATTACAGTGGGTTGGTTTTGGGGTCCCAATGAGCCCCTGTCAAAAGCCTATTATTCATCATCCAACTCCAAAAACTCAGTTTCGGAAGCTAGCACATTGGATCTTAGCAGTGTAATTTAGCCCCATCTTAACCCATCACATTCAGAAACAACACAAATGAATAATAGTGTCTTGTAGGTAATATATAATTATTTTTTCCAAATTCAACTTGATTTGACCCTTCCAGGCCAATCTAGAAAACCACTCCCGGAGTTCCTCTTACTGAGATCACATGTAAAATTGCTGTACCAGTGTGTCTTGGTTGTAAACAATAGAAACCAACTTTGACTCACATAAGCAGAAAATGAACGAATATTGAATAGCTTGTCAAGTCAATGGGGAGGTTCAGAATAGAGGGAGGAGCAAAGGGAACCAGGACACAGCTAGGATCACGTCCCAGGACCAGTCTGTCCCAATATCAATGCCGTTATTTTGACTTTGTGGGCATTATTGCCTCCCCACAAACAATCTGTTCCTTTATTCAACCCTCTCCCCCTGGGAGCATCCAAATGGCCAAGCTGTTTCTGTTATCAGATTGCTCCCTACACCATCCCTCCTTAAGCTGCTGTAGCATCCCACCTACTTTGGAATTTCCAAAAGCAGGACTGCTGGGCAGGCAGAAGTGATAGATGTTCCCTCTAGAGCTCAGTACAAGACTCTACAAGAGCTGCCTACCAAGGAGAAAATTTCTACAGTTGTTTTGAAGTTTAAGTCCAGCCCTGTTACTCTATGCTTTGTTACTATCTTCATAAACTTTTTGAGCCACAAAGTGTCCTTAGAGATCATCTAGTAGTTCATCGCTCTCATATCACTAATGGATGCTCAGAGACTCAAAGACAGAAAATTATCTTCCAAGGGTGGCACTGGAAATCAATGGCAGCGCTGTAACCAGAATGGCAATGCTGGCATTATTTCCAGCCAAGGGATATGTAAAATGCTCCACTTATTTTGGTTCTCATTGTCCATCATAGTTTGGCTCTGGCTATTTTTCAGAGTAGAGGTATTAGTGGCCTTCTTAGTTGACTTCTTCTTCATCCCTGCTGGTACTAATAGTTAACTTCCACAGGATTTCTTCCAGGGACTCACCATTTCCTTAAAGGAGCCTATAATTTATTTCTCGAAGCATTAAAACTATAATCATCGGGACTATTTTAGTTATTACTGAATGTAGAATCTCAAGAGCATTGTTGACATTTTACATTATTACAAAAAGGATTGGTATATGAAAAAGCATAGTGCCTAGCTTATGGTTAAGTGTTAACTACATCAAAGCTCTGATTTATTATCAGTAGCTATATAGTATTGTTAAAAGTAGCATTAGATCAGGGCACTTAAATTCTAACAGATAAGATTTGGGGATTTCAGTAAGAGATTGGATTACCTTTTTCTCTCTGTAATTTGAGAGTTCAGCGAGGTCATTGGTTTCAAATTGTGATTTCTGGAGGTGCTTTGAGGTCAGGGTGGGGAAGAAGAGCAGTGGGAGGTGTCTTAAAGGGAGGCTTCTTCTTCAGCCAGCAGCTGTGCTTTTATTTATTTACTATATCAGGCTCTTTGTTTCCGACATGGGTTTGAGATGCCTGGTGTCAGCAAGTGGAACTGTCCTGGAGGTGGACGGTCTTTCAAGTCTAGGGTTCACAGGAGAGCTGGGGACCAGAGATAAAGGTGGGAATCTTTTATGTATAGTTGATATTTAATGCCGTGGTTCTGGATGAGTTTTTCCTAAGCAGTGAGCATAAATTGGGAAGAGGTCTGAGGATTGACCTCTGAGGCACTTCATTATTTAATATTGGGAAATGGAAAAGGATCAGAAAAGAAACAGCCTGCAGAATAGGTACAAATCCAGGAGAACTTGTGTCCTAGAAGCCAAGTTAAAAAAAAAAAAAAAAAAAAAGGTATCTCAGAAGGAGAGCAGTCCATTATGTCAGACGTTGTTAAGATTTGAGTAGGATGAGGACTCAGAATTGAATTTGACAAAGAGGAGGTTATGGTGACTTCGAAGGTAGTTCTCTCTGGAGTATGAGGTATAAAACCTGATTGGAGAGGGGGCTTACAAAGCAATGGGAAGAGTGGGATCGGAGAAAGTAAGTTTTCACAACTATTTTGAGGAATTTTCTATAAAGGGGATTAGGAAAATGGAACTAATGGATAGGGATTGAAATATGGAATCAAGGGAGGATATTGTTTTGTGGTGCTTTTTTTTTATGGTGGGAGATAATAAAGCAAATTTGTCTGATGGAGGAATCCTTGTAGCATAGATGGGAGGAATTATTGCCAGAATAGAGACAATAGCAGAAACAAAATCCTTGGCTAGTCAAGTGGAGAGAATCCAGTTACAAATGAAGGTTGTGGTTGATTAGGGATTCAAATTGTTCATCCATTGCAATACAAAAGGCAGAGTGCAGACAAGCTGCAGATATGCTGGTACATTTATTTAGAAGATGAGGAAATTGCCTGGTTGTTCTGTCTTCTCAGTGAACTAGGAACAAAATCATCAACTGAGAGTATGGGGTATGGAATTGGAGGTTTGAAAATTTGAGAATGTGAGAGAGATCTTTTAAAAAGATTTAATTGACTAAAGGTTTAGCCTAGACATGTAGGATTGCAAAGTGTGATGCCAGCATTTTCATTTGAAAGACTGGTATCCTTCTATTTTGAGAACTGTTCTTATATTCTTTGATTATCAGCCCCATTCCCGTTTTTTTTCCCCCCTGCCACTTCTTTCTGAAGCCCATTTAGTCAGATGTTAGGCACTTAGACGGATGCTCTGATTGGAAGGATTTTCTAATTATCCATCTCTTTCCTCAGCTTTGTCTTCTAATCCTTCCCTAGAGTTCTTTATTTCAGCTATCTTATTATTTTAATTTTCTGTAGTATCCTATTCTTTTTAATGAATGCAATAGCTTCCCATTTAACATTAACATGTTTGTTTATTTTGTGATTTATTTTGTTTTGTTTTCTTCTGTCCCCCGCATAATCTGCTCCCTCCAAATTTCCCTTTACTGCTTGCTTGTTTTGGTATCTGTCTCTCGTAAGGCTTTATTCAGATGCCTGATGATTCTTGGCTGCCCATTTAAACGTGTGTGCATTGAAAACTCCATGTGCAGCAATGGGCTTGGTACTGGCTTCATTCTAAGGTGAAGTTAAGCTTTTTCATGGTCAATATCTAGAGGTTTTTTCCTCTTATCTAGGACTGTTGAGTTTTTGGTTTTTTTTCAAAGATCGGGAATGGTAACATATGCCTGTCTGCCAACCTTTTGGAAACAGGGAAGGAAAAGGATGAGGGCTTCATGGTTCCCTAGTCTTTCAGTCAGTTCAACCTCTTCACCCTGTGCTGCACCTCTGCCCCATGTCTGATTTAGTCACCTAGCACTCCTCTACTAGCTTTCTGTCACTCAGAGTTTCGGGACTTTCTTTTTAGATGTTTCTGTTCTTTGGAAAATTCAAATACACGAATGTGTTATCTCCTGTTCACTTAATAATGGATTAGTATCTTTATTTTCTTTATTGTCATTGTACTGAGGGAACAGGGAAGAAAGATAAACACATGTGGTCAATGTACCATGTTTATCCAGGACCCATCCCTAAGCTCCACAGTGTAATCATCACAGTAACTAACATTTGTTGAATGCCTATGTTTATTAATGTGGTAGTCACAACAATCTTGTGAGTCAGTTACTGTTATTGTTGCCATTTTACAAATGAAGAAACTAAAACACAGAGGTTAAGTAACTTGCCAAAGATACACAGCCAGTAAATGTGGACCTAGGATTCACACTCAGCTGTGAGACTCCAGAGTTGCTTCCTGCTTAAAATTCTCCAATAATATCTCATCTCTTTATTTTGAAATCCAAACAACTTAGTATGTCAATAATGCTCCCTATGATAGTATACTTCTTTCTATTAAGTCACCCTGAACATCTTGCCCGGAATGGACTATGTCCTTGTGATTCTCACATCTTTCTCATGCTGTTCCCTCTGCCCCAGATTGCTTTATTTTTCAGGATACTCACTCTGCGTTAGGGTATTTCTGTGTATACTTATAAATTGAACGTTTGTATAATTTATTTCACCTAACAATCAGTACAAGCTTTTGATTTGCTTTCATTTAGCACATCTTCTTAAAATGTATTTATTGAATAAAATAATATTGCATTGTGTCTGAAGGTTCCTAAGTCTAACAGACTAAACAAAATGATCTCAAACCTTGATTGTATCGAGAGTGATAATTAAATATTCTTTGGGAGTGTAAGTAAAAATGTATGTACTTTGAACAATAAATTAACTAATTTCTCCATTTGTTATTAAAAAGTTTCCTAACCTTATCTTGCTGTTTTTCTTAATAGCACTTCCTTCCTCTTGCAAATCTGAATTGTTCACCAAATGTTGAAACTTTCCTTTGCAAAGCTTTTGTACCAACCTGCACAGAGCAAATTCATGTGGACCCACCTTGTCGTAAATTTTGTGAAAAAGTATATTCTGATTGCAAAAACTTAATTGACACTTTTGGGATCCAGTGGCCTGAGGAACTTAAATGCGACAGGTAGGTAAATTATGTTTTCAACCGAAAACTACTAATGATAATGATATTTTAATATTGGTGTTAGCTTTCCAGAATGTTAGTGACAGGTTTTCGTTATTTGATTCAACAAATGTTTATTACACCTTAACATATCCCGGGGTACTGTGATGATAAGTGTCATGGACATATGGTGAGAAAAAACAGACTTGGTTCTTATTCTCGGGGAACTTACAGAGGGGTAGAAGGAATGGAGAGTAATCAAATAATTATACAAGAAATGCAAATTTATAACTGTGCTTAGATATAACAAAGGCGAGGTACATAGTTCTATGAGAACATGTAATAGTGCCTTTGACCTTACCTGGGGAAAATAAACCTTATTATCAAGTCACTTTTTGCACATTAGTCTTTATAAATTATTTTTGTTTCCTTTTCTCTGGAAACAAAATAAGCTTGTAATTTGAAATATTGTACTGAAACAATAAGAACACATATAATAAATCTGGGAAGAAAGATAGCTACCTTTTTGTTCACCTGTGAACTGAAGAAACTTTATGGAACTCATACATTTCTGCTAAATTCATAGTTATTTTCCAGAACAAATGAGTAATACAGTTGCCCTTGAACAACTAAGGGGTTAGGATTACTAATCTCCCATGCAGTCAAAAATCCGTGTATAACTTTTGACTCCCCAAAAACTTAACTACTAAATTTTTGACCAGAAGACTTACCAATAACATAAACAATTAATGGAAGTTTTTTATGTTATATGTATTATATACTATATTCTTACAATAAAGCAAGCTAGACAAAAGATGTTAAGAAAATCATAAGGAAGAGAAAATACACTTATAACTATTCATTGAAAAAAAAGCCTGCATCTAAGTGGATCTATGCAGTTCAAACCCATATTGTTCAAGGGTCAACTGTGTACAGTAAAGCTGAAGATGCTCATACACTACATCTAGGAAATCTCCTTTCACAGAGACTTCTACACCAACAAGAAGTCATGGCATTCCGCACCAGCCCAGCTGCTCCCAGCCTCGGGGCAGCGTGGGAAGGCGGGAGGGCGGCTCTGGCCAGAGCGAAGGCAGGGCCGGCAGCCAGGGGAAGGAAAGCCCATTCTTGCAGGAATCTTTGTGCATCGGGCCTCTAGTTAGATAATAAAAATTCCCTTTTCCAAGACTTGTATTTTATATGCTTATAAACAGACAAGGCTGTACTTCTTATTTTTTTCTGGAGAGTACAAGCAAGAAAATTTTTTCTTCTTAAATATTTATTCTTGAGAGCAAACATTATTTTTAAATTATTAATTGATTGTTTTCCAAGTAAGGGAATTTATATGTTCATTTGCCTTGTATTTAATATTTGTTAGTTTGTTAGGACCTCATTAACCACACAAATTTTTAAGTCAACTTCAAAACTTTCTACCCAACTAACATGTAGTGCTATAGGTTTGTGTGTCTTCCCATCGATTATGAATGCATAAGGAACTATTTTATAATTGGAAAGCATAGCATTAAAAGAGTGACTCCATAAAAATGTTGACTGTATATTTAATTTTTGTAATTTTTACAGATTACAGTATTGTGATGAGACTTCTCCTGTAACACTTGATCCACACACACAGTTTCTGGGTCCTCAGAAGAAAACAGAACAAGTCCAAAGAGACATTGGAATATGGTGTCCAAGGCATCTTAAGACCTCTGGGGGACAAGGCTATAAGTTCCTGGGAATTGACCAGTGTGCACCTCCGTGCCCCAACATGTATTTTAAAAGCGATGAGCTGGAGTTCGCAAAAAGCTTTATCGGAATAGTTTCAATCTTTTGTCTGTGTGCAACTCTGTTCACATTCCTTACCTTTTTAATTGATGTTAAAAGATTCAGATACCCAGAGAGACCAATTATATATTACTCAGTCTGTTACAGCATTGTATCTCTTATGTATTTTATTGGATTCTTGCTAGGCAATAGCACAGCCTGCAATAAAGCAGACGAGAAGCTAGAAGTTGGTGAGACGGTAGTTCTAGGCTCTCAAAATAAGGCTTGCACCATTTTGTTTATGTTTTTGTATTTCTTCACCCTGGCCGGCACTGTGTGGTGGGTGATCCTGACCATTACTTGGTTCTTGGCTGCCGGAAGAAAATGGAGCTGTGAAGCCATCGAGCAAAAAGCAGTGTGGTTTCATGCCGTGGCCTGGGGAACGCCAGGCTTCCTCACTGTTATGCTGCTTGCGATGAATAAGGTTGAGGGGGACAACATCAGTGGGGTGTGCTTTGTTGGCCTCTATGACCTGGATGCTTCTCGCTACTTTGTCCTCTTGCCGCTGTGCCTCTGTGTGGTTGTCGGGCTGTCTCTCCTCTTAGCCGGAATCATCTCCTTAAATCACGTGCGACAAGTGATACAGCGTGATGGCCGCAACCAAGAAAAACTGAAGAAATTTATGATTCGAATTGGAGTCTTCAGTGGCCTGTATCTCGGGCCATTGGTGACCCTCCTTGGATGTTACGTCTATGAGCAAGCCAACAGGGTCACCTGGGAGATCACATGGGTCTCTGACCACTGTCGTCAGTACCACATCCCATGTCCTTACCAGGTAAAAGCTGGCATTTGTACTGTTTCATGATCTGATCGTAGCATAGAAACGTTTCCTGGAAATACACTTGAATTAATTATGAGCATAAGTTAATATTTCAGGCGAGAAATCCAGCAGACATAGGATTTGTTTCCTCTACATCAGTTGAAACTGGGATAAGTGTCTTTAGGTTTTTCGGTTTGTTATGATAATAAATGTCTCCTTTCACTGTTCTTTTCAAAATTATATAGAGCTGTGAAGGTAGATTAATGAAATGAAGAAAAGACTCAGAAGAACAGGTCTTGGGGAAAAAATAAGAGAAGTAATTTCTGAATTGGGAGTTGTTTTAAATTCTTCAGTTAATAGGGAAAATTTTTATTTGGGTATATTTAATTTGATTGGGTTATCCTATAATTTTTTTTTTTTTGCAGACTATTTGTTTATAAAAACAGAACTTGATTTTTGCCTAAACCATACTGTCATTTCTTAACTGAAAAAAGTACAGTTGAAATAAAATGTGTTTCATATGCTCCTGATGTTTATCAGTATAAAAGTGGTGTTAAGATTAAAGAAGTAAATTTCTGAAAATAGAAAAAAAATTTAAATCATTTTAATTGAAGTTTTTAATGAAAAAAATTTGTGTTAAGTAGATTTTATACATTTTTCTTGAATATTTATATATGGTATTATAAATTATATTGATTATGAGTATTGTCATCATAGTTATTAAATCAAACAATGTGTGGGCTGGTTATTTTACATAATAATATATATTCTAGAAAGTTACTACATTTTAACATAGTGGAACCTATTTAAATTCTGACGGGTAGGAATAATAGTTTTACTTATCTTACATACTGTCCACAGCCTGTTAACAGTAGGTTATTTTTACTATATATTTAATAAGTGAGCTATGTCTTAAAGTTATCCTGATACAGTAAATGTTTTCTATATTCTCAGAATTTTGGGGTAGGAGGAAAATACAATAATTAAATACTGCCAAAAAAGTTTAAAGTCTACAATTTTTAAAAATTACATTTCATGTAAGGAAATAAACTATAAAGTGTTAGAAGATTCAGTGAGAAAATTCTAAACTTAAAGTGGAGGACTTAATAAATATGATATAAAATTCAGGAACTTTAAAAGAAATAATTGCTAAATTTGACTACATTAAAAAAAATGTTTGTGTATGGCAAAAATCATCACCATAATCAAAGTCAGAAAACTAATTGGGAAAATTTATTCACATAATACACCACAGTTGAAGGGCTAATTTCTTAATTTATAAAGAGTTCCTATAGATCAATAAGAAAAAAACAAAGTCTGGTATGAAAATGAAGTAGAGGATTCACAGAAAACGAATCCTCTGACATGTGCAAAATGTTGTAAGAGAATTTCAAATTAAAATTATAATAAACCCTGGCCAGTGTTTCCCAGTAGTTAGAGCATTGGCCTGAAGGGATGCTAGTCCAATTCCCAGTCTGAAGGGATGCTGGTCCAATTCCCAGTCAAGGGCTCTACCGAGGTTACAGGTTCGATCTCTGGCCTGCTGGGGCCCATGCAAAAGACAACCGATTGATGTCTCTCTCTCTCTCACATCTATGTCTGTCTATCTGTCTGTCTCTCTCTCTACTTCCCTCCTTTCCACTCTCTAAAAATCAATGGGGGAAAAAACCCTTGGGTGAGGATTTATAACAACAACAAAATTTACAATGACTTATTGTGCCTACTTATGTCATAGCAAACGTCTGAAGGTTTTATAGCCACTGTGTTGGCGAAACTGGCAAAGTGCACATTCTCAGGCTTTGTTATTAATCAGTTCAACCTTCTATGAAAAGTAATTTGACAGTATCTGTTATTTAAAATGAACATATCTTTGATCGTGTCCTTATGGGAATTTATTGACGAATCTGCTCACAAATGTGAGTGGTTGCCTACATACCAAGATAGTCACTGCAATAGTATTACAATGGCAATAGGTTGAAAATAACCCAAATATCCATTAATAAGAGTACTTGAATAAGTTATGCTCACACAATGGAACAGCCTTTAAAAATGAATGAGAAGCTCTATTTCTACTGATATAGAATAATATAACCAAGAAATATTAGTGAAAAGAGCAATATGTAATATGAGATGTATAGTATTTTGATACTTGAGTAACATTTTAAAAATAATATTAAAGTTTATACTTAGAAAAAAGTATGGATTATTTTTTATGAAATTTTCAATTTAATACTTATTTTGCTCTAACATCGATTTTTATAACATAAACACCAACAATGTGTAAAGATTCTAAAACAATATATTGTTATAAGGAGTTTAAATGTGTGTGTTTTTTTGTGGTAGATTAAAGTGAAGGAAAAATATAAATATTTAGAGGCAAATATTTGGCAGTTATAAAAATTCAGGAAATCAAGCCAAGATTAGGAAAGACATCCTTCCTAAATATATTTAAGTATTTTTTCCTTACTAGCTATATATTTTGACATATATATAAGGTTATTTGTTCAGAACTTAGGTAAAGAATGTATTGACACTTAAAACACTATTATGTGAATTATTTATAAAATATTAAATATTTTATAAAAAAACAGACCAGATTTATTTTTTTTTTGTTCATTTTACATTGACTATATAGACTTCACTTAAAATGTATCACTGAAATATTTATTCACCATTTTTTTACAGGCAAAAGCAGAAAATCGACCAGAATTGGCTTTGTTTATGATAAAATATCTGATGACATTAATTGTTGGCATCTCTGCCGTCTTCTGGGTTGGAAGCAAAAAGACATGCACAGAGTGGGCTGGGTTTTTTAAACGCAATCGCAAGAGAGAGTAAGAACCTACTGAACTATCTGACACTGTCTTAGAAATAAATAGCTCAAATACCAGGGAACTATTTCAATCATCATTGTACTTTATTATATCGGTTGTTTCAAGCTTGGCAATCTTCATGGAGAGAGATGCTTTCCTCTGGCATCTTTATAATAATCTGACATGTGCAAGTCTATTGAAATATGAAGGAAAGATTTATAAAATGTGCATTTTCTTTCCATGGCTTATATTATTACTGCTCTCATTGGATTCGTTATTTTTGGGGATAGCACTTTTAATAATTTAATCCTTTTTTATCAATGATAAAATATTAAATGGGATCAAGTATATGTAAGGAAATCTATAAAGGATGATTCGGATGTGATGTCTTAATGGTCATTAATTACCTTTAAATTTTATTACACATAGTGTTGACTTAAAATTTCTCTTATTTACCTTGCCTAAGACGGTAAAAATTAAAACTTAAGGAATATTCTATAACAATATAGTAGATTTACATTTCTGAGTGAATAGTTCACTTCATTTATTTAAGTACATTGTATTCTATGTACTATCAGTAGTGTACAAGAGAGTTTTTTAAACCATTTCCTCTTGGTTTGATTAATGAACTTCTTTGTGGTAAAAATTTAAGAACTATAGACTCACAAATAAGTTTTTGAAATCTGAATGATTGCATTTAACTGGACTTTAAATTTTTGCACTATTATTATATGTTTTTCCTATATTTATATACACACACTAACTTAAGTATAACTTGCTGACTTTAATATTAGAAAGAAAACAGTTTAATTTAAGCAGACCACTAATCATATTCTGTGTCCTCTCTCTTCTGGTTTATTTTAACATTTGATATACTTACATGTGGTACACGTACAGTTAGGCCTCTACTTTAAGCTGGTTTGTGTTTCCTTGTCCTCATTCTTGGATGTTGCCTATTTAATTCCTTACCAGTCTACTATTTATACTAACAAAAGCAACTAACAGTGTATCCATAAAAGATTTCACATCATGGCAATTCACTTATATCGCTTAGTAGTTATGATCCCAAATTTTGTAAGTAAATCTTATATAACTTTTAACTATACTGAATAAGGTCTTTTAGCACAGCTATGTGATATGCTTTATGGCTTCTATTATAATACCATTTTTAAGTAAATCCTCTCCTTTATTACAGTCCAATCAGTGAGAGTCGAAGAGTACTACAGGAGTCATGTGAGTTTTTCTTAAAGCACAACTCTAAAGTTAAACACAAAAAGCACTACAAGCCAAGTTCACATAAGCTGAAGGTCATTTCCAAATCCATGGGGACCAGCACAGGAACGTCAGCAAATCATGGCACTTCTGCAATAGCGATTGCTAACCACGATTACTTAGGACAAGAAACTTTGACAGAAATTCAAACTTCTCCAGAAACATCAGTGAAAGAAGTGAGAGAAGACGGAGTGAACACCCCCAAACCCAGAGCACAGGACTGTGGGGGACCTGCCTCCCCAGCGGGATCCAGCTCTAAACTCTGTGGGGAGCAGGCTGACGGGAAAGGCCGGGCAGGCCACGGGACCGAGAAGAGCAGTGTGTCCGAAAGTGCGCAGAGTGAAGGAAGGTGAGCTTCGCTTCTGTTCTCTCAAGTCTTGACTATTTCAAATACGCATTATACATTTTTTTATTAAAGCGTAACATGTTTGCAAAGAAAGCATTCTACCAGACGACATGTTTATACACTAATCCCAGAAAGTTTGGATTTAAGAAGTTGCAGTTCAGCCTATGAATATTCCGTTTTGTAGTTTAATTCTTAGCTTGGAGAAGACGCTTCATGAATGTTGTTCAAGTAGAACACTCATGTTCATTTCTCTGGTAATTGTTAAGAGTTACATGTATATTTAGGTAAATGATTAAGATTTATCAGAAATATAGGCTAAATTTTACTAAGGTTGATCTATATTTTAGTTGAAATTCCAGTTTGGTCTTGGGAAGAGATGAGTGTAACTACCATCTTCAGGCTACAGTAGTGTCTAAAAGGTACTTGTCAGTTTAGAGTCGCCAGGGATAGGGAACTTTTTTTCAGCTAAGGGCCATTTGTATATTTATAACATCATTCAGGGGCCATACGAAATTATCCACTTAAAAATTAGCCTCCAATATTTGGTCAAACATTTAATTAACTCATCCCTAATGCCTTGACAGGGACTGGCCAAATGATTTTCGGTCCTTTATAAAGCTCTTGGGCCGGATCTTCCCATCTTATAAAAACATTATAAGATGTTTTTATTTTCTGAGCATGAAAGGATACTGACATTATCTTTAATGAAATTTCCATGTAGTCAAAGTGATCCAAACACACTATCCATGAAGTTAGCCAGAATGCTGACAACTACTGAAGGTCTCAAGGTTGTCTTACCTCATCCTTCCGAGCTAGGCCAAATGCACCTTCTCTGTGTTGCTGGAACAGCTTTTTCACCCCTGGATTATAATTACATATATGCTTTTATCCCCCACTAGATTTGTAAACTCCTTAAAGGCAGAGCTGAGTTCTTACCGTTGTATTCCCTGCTGCTTACATAGTCGATCCATGGTAGAAAATCAATAAAATGTTTGCTGATTTGAGGGCAGGAAGCCTCTTATTAATTGATTTCCCCAGGAGACACCATGCTCAGCCCATGATGGGTGTGCTTGACAGTTTCCAAAGTTAGCAAACATTCTTTGAAAATAAAGTATTTGTGTTTTGAGGTGTTAGACTAGACATGCAGTTTTAGTCAATTATCCTATGATAAAGTGGACACTGGCTGGAAGTAAAGCTCATGCAAGTGAGGAGCAGTTATAAGGACACCTGGCATCACCTTTGAGCTTGGTGTGTATGTATGTCCGCTTCTGTTCTTTGCCTAGGGGTGCTCCAAAGACTGGTGTTGCCGAAGCCGGCCCGGTGCAGAGCAACAGCTTGCAGGTCCCCTGTCCTTCAGAACCAAGCAGCCCCAAAGGCTCCACGTCGCTGCTCAGCTGCTCGGCTTCGGGAGCTGGAAAAGAGCAGGGCGCCGGCAGTCACTCGGATACTTGAAAACCAGGTCATCTCGTTACTGAGAAGTGTCATTGTGTTACACTGGGGGCGGTGTTCGTACACCGACGCACAAGAACCACTATTATATCCTCCCTTTGTACTTAGAGTTGCACTGCCTGCTGTTACACTGGATGTTACACTGGAAACAAGAAATGCTGAGAATAATATGATCCATTTCACATAGAGGTCAATGACAACAATATACCCGAAAACCAGAAATGTGCAGGTTAATAATATTTTTTTAAATTGTGTGGGAAGAGGGAGTTAGAGGAATCTTCCTTTTTTTTATTTATGAAGATTCTGCTCTTGTTAAAAGTATTTTAAGGTGTACAATGCTATTTTGCTTTTATGATATAAAAATCAAGATTTTTCTCTGCTGAAGTATTTAAAACTTATCCTTACATCTTTTTTATATATTTGAAAATAAGTTTATATGTATTTGAAGTTTTTTTTTTTTAGATATCCTGGAAAATCTACTCAAATATTTTATCATGTTACCTGATATCTTATTTTCACACTACTTTGGTAGCTTTTACACTGAATTGCTAAGAAAATTGAAAAATAGTATTTTTTTGTAGAATAAAAAGTTGGCACATCAGAGGTATCATAATGGGAATTCAACTGAAAAATCCACTTACTGTACCTTACTGTCTTCAGTATGTGAATTTTATAAGTCGAATTGTTTTATAAGTTTCACAGCTCTATTACACAGCTGAAATAAGGTGCTCTTTGAAAGAGTGTCTAATGTTTATATTATGTTGCTTGCTGATCCTTCTACATTTTAAAAATAAAAAGTCCTGCAGGATTAGTAGAAGGACTGTTACTCTTCTATAAAGTAAGCCAAGTGCAATCGATTTTTTTAAATGTTTCTTGCCCACCCAGGATTATGTTATTATGACCACTACAGTTGCTTATACTTTTGTTTTAACTTTTGTCTTTGAACATTTAGAATACTACACGTGGTTTGTATTTGTGCAGTATCTTTTCCAGATATTATGTAGAATTCATTTCTGCAGCTAAATAGGATTTTGCTGAACATGAAAATGTGTGTTAGCAATATCAGTGCCAATCAAATGGAAAAAATGTAGTCCTGACAAAATAAGTCAAATTTCATATAATATACTTTAAAATACTAAAGAATATTCTTAATTTTGTTTCTAATTAAGTAGTATTCCTCAAATAGGTTTTCTGATGCTTTTAGTTTTTTCTCTATTACCATTCATTTAGAACATACAAAGAAAATTATCATGTACTGTATGGAAAACGTTGTAAATACTAACTTTTCCACATTTGTTAACTTTGTATACAAAAACCTTTTTTTATGTGATCTTTTCAGTAATAAAATTTTCTTTATATAGGAGATTGTGGCGTGTTCCATGTCATGTAGTGTGGTCCTGGCCCAGGAAGTGGCATAATCCTTCAGATCAGTAGCTCAATGACTAATAAGCCAGAATTTTCTTTTTATTTGATTATTTTCTTTTTAAATAATTTTTTTATTTTTCAATTACAGTTCACATACAATATTATATTAGTTTCAGGTGTAGTGATCAGACTTTCATATATCTTATGAAGTGATCACCCCGATAAATCTGGTACCCATCTGACACCATACATAGTTATTACATTATTACTTACTATATTCTCTCTGCTATCCTTTACATCCCCATGACTGTTAATCCCTTAACCTTTTCCACCCACCCTCCGAATTCTCCTCCCCTTTAGCAACCATCAATTTGTTCTCTTTGTGAGTTTGTTTTTGTTTTCTTTGTTCATTTATTTTGTTTTATAGCTTACATATATAAGTGGAATCATGTGACATTTGTCTTTTTCACTCTGACTTATTTCAGTCAGCACAATATCTTCTGTGTTGTTGCAGATGGCAAGATTTCCTTTTTTTTTTATGACTGAGTCATATTGCATTGTATATGTACACTATTTCTTTTGATGGGCACTTTGTTTGCTTCCATATGTTGGCTATTGTAAATAAAGATGCAATGAACATATGAATGCATATGACTTTTCAAAGTAGTGTTTTGGGTTTCTTTGGATATATAAATTTATCAATAATCTATTACATGTAAGTAGATTAAAAATTTCAATCAAAGGATATTTGGTGGTTGAAGGAATAAGAAAACAAGACCTTTACATATGCTGTCTGAAAGAGACTCACTTCAGATCAAAAGGCACACAAAGGGGTGGAAAATGACATTTCAGGAAAATGGAAACAAACAAACAAAAGAGGGTTAGCAATACTTATACAGGCAGAATAGATTTTAAAACAAAGGCTATTTCAAGAAACAAAGCAATTCCACTTCTGGTTATTTATTCAAAGTATTGTTAACCCAGCTATTTGTTTCCATTTTCCTGAAATACCATAAGGCAGTTCCACTTTTAATTTTTTGAGGAAACTCCATATTGTTTTCCACAATGGCTGCACCAATCTGCATTCCCACTAACAGTGCATGCGGGTTCACTTTCCACATCCTTGCCAACACTTGCTGTGTGTTGATTTATTGATGACAGCCGTTCTGACAAGCGTGAAGTGATATCTCATTGTGGTTTTAATTTGCATTTATCTGATAATTAGTGCCATTGGGCATCTTTTCATGTCTATTTGACATCTGTATATCCTCTTTGACAAAGTGTGTATTCAGATCCTTTGCCCATTTTTTAATTGGATTGTTTGTTTTTTGGCATTGAGTTACACAAGTTCTTTATAAATGTTGGATATAAACCCCTTATAAAATGTAGCATTGGTGACTATAGTCTCCCATTCAGTGAGTTGTCTTTTCTTTTTCTTAGTTTCCTTTGCTGTACAAAAACTGGTTTGATGTAGTCCAATTTGTTTTTTTGCTTTTACTTCCTATGCCCAAAGTTATATATCAATAGAAGAAAAAATATTGTTACAAGAAAAATCCAAGATTTTACTGCCCATGTTTTTTTCTAGAAATTGTATGGTTTTGAGTCTTACATGTAAGTCTTTAATCCATATTGAGTTTATTCTTGTGTATGGTGTAAAAGGTGATTCTTTTATTTGCATGTTTCCATCCAATTTCCCCAACACCATTTATTAAATACATTATCTTTACTCCATTCTATGTTCTTGCCTCCTTTGTCAAATATTAATTGACCATAAATGAGTAGGTTTCTTTTTGGACTCTCTATTCTGTTCCATTGATTCATATATTTGTTTTAATGCCAGTACCAAGCTGTTTTGATTACTATGGCCTTGTAGTATAGTTTGATATCAGGTAGCGTGATTCCTCCAACTTGGTTCTTCTTTCTCAAGATTGCTGTGGCTATTTAGGGTCTTTTTGAGGTTCCATATAAACTTTTGGAATATTTGTTCTAGTTTTGCAAAATATTCCATTGGTCTCTTGATAGGAATTGTGTTGCATCTGTAGCTGACGTTGGGTAGTATGAACATTTTAATGATGTTAATTCTTCCTATCCATGAACACACGATATGCTTCATTTATTTGTATCTTCCTTTTGATTTCGTCCTTGATCTCATGGTTAACCAATTTATTGTTTAGTAACATGTTATTTACCCTCCAGGTGTTTATGTTTTTTTCATTTTTTTCTTTCTTTCTTGTGATTGATTAGTTTTTAGTTTCATAACATTAAGGCAGAGAAAATAACTTGAAAAGAATGTATAGTCTGCTGCTTTGGGGTGAAATGCTTTGAAGATATCAATTAAATCCCTCTGCTCAAGTGTGTCATTTCCTTGTTGACTTTCTATTTAAAAGACCTGCCCATTGAGGTCAACGGGGTGTTAGGTAGGTTCTCAGTGAGACACCAAGTAGCGGTAAGTCGTGTTCACCTGGTTGATAAAGATTCAAGTCCAGTGCCAGTGCTGGGTCTGAGGCCACTCAGCAAATATCCCAGGGATCCCAAGTCCAGCCGCCACCTACTGGGGGCCTGGGAAGGAAGAGAAATGGGCTTAATGTGCAACTGGCCAGCAATGTTTTGATCTACTAAAGTAAATGTTTTAATCTAATGCCATTCTTTAACTCTTTGAATAACTCAAATTGATCATGATGTATCATTTAATACATTGCTTGATTTGATTTTTTGTCTATTTAGAATAAAAATTTGCATCTGTACTTTCCTATTTTCTAAATGATTCCTCAACCATAGGCATAATGTTTGTAATCAATAAGCTTGGATTTAAAAGTGTTTAATTTTAGTAGCAAACTTCAAAAATACCATTTAATTCAAAAGAAGAGAACAGTTTTTCTTTTGCATGGGACCAGAATCTTTGATGCAAAAAGAATCGGCTATTTCAGAGGTGGTGACATTAATTTTTATATGGATTTTACAGCATTTTCTAATCAAGAAATTTGACCTAAATTACATAATATATTTACATTTATTTGTTTGTTTGTTTATGTTAATCCTCACCTGAGAATATTTCCCCCTTTGCTTTTCAGAGTGGAAAGGAGGGAGAAGGGAGAGAGAGAGAGAGAGAGAGAGAGAGAGAGAGAGAGAGAGAAACATTAGTATGAGAGAGACACATCAACTCGTGGTCTCCTGCACACACCCTACTGAGGGAAGGAGTGTGAATCTGCAACCCATGTACATGTCCTTGACCAGGAATCGAACTGAGACCCTTTGGTGTGCGAGCTGACACTTCAACCACTAAGCCACACTGGCCAGGGTTGTGCAGCTACACTCAAGAGCAGTAAAGATGTGACAAAGCGCCATTTCAATTTGGAAGGCGGCCACAAACCCTCAATAGAATTATATGAAATGCCATCTTTCAAAAGGACTCAGTACACCCATTGGGATCCATTACTGCTCTGTTCTTCATGGTACTGAAGAAATCTTCCCTAGACTTTCCCCAAAAAACTAAACCAAAACGCCTTGTAGGTGCCACCCATCATCAAAATCACAGTTTTAGTGCTTTCTTAACTTGCATCACCTCAGAAATGGACCCCTGGTGTGTGTTTCCAGTTACCACTGCTGGAAAGTTTTAACACTGCCAAGGCAGGCACTGC